GGGGGGGGGGGCTCGACCCTATTAAGCTGGCATTTCAGGGTACTATTTTATATATATATAAGGAAAATTTGAAAGTTAGGGGGGAATGGGGGGAGGCCCGAGCACCCCCCTGCCCCTACCTGTCTACGCCCATGGGTATATACATAGGTAATGGACGAGTTCGCGCTTCCCCCTGCTGGGTTTCGAAAGAAAATGAGTTAGGGCCTTTCTATTTTAAAGTAACGATATGCACCTTTATAGGGTAGTTCATTTTTATAAATAAATTATGGTGCTATATGTTTGGAGTGATTAATTGCAGTTCATAATGGAATTTTCATGAAAATTAAAATGCCAAGAAAGATCATAATAACCTTGTATATGTACGTATTTATATGCACATAAAAGCTACACAAAGAAGTCGTTAATATGGTTGTGTAATTAAAGTTCGCTAAAAGCATTTTTAGTGGGCATACTTGGAGTGTAGGTAGGGGAAATGCACAAGCTGGAATTTGGAATAAAATATGGGACTTTGGAATTATAAAATGTATGTATGTAGTAGGGATGTTGCGAATGTGGAATTTGCGGATGCGAGTATCTAACAGCCAACATCCGCGGATGCGAATGCGGATGTTAAGTATTTTTAAGAAACAATTAGAATCTAGCATAATGGCAAGATCGTTGTTTAAACAGCGCTTACAAGCCAAACCAGATATGTCAGGTTTTGCTAAAGCTTTATAAAAAGAATTCTTCATTCTCATTCCTTTGGCTATTCTAGAATTTGGGGAATCTGTAACTTCATCAGCGTTTTTCGATTTTAGTTTTTGTAATTAATTTTTAATACTTTCTTCTGCGACTGGTTTGAAAAATTTGTCCTATGACGAGGTAAATAGGTGGATATGGAAAATAAATTATTATTTTCTTGGAATGACAATTTTGAGCAAAATTCTGTTTTCAAAGTCGTGGCTGCCAGCCGAATCGGATTAGAATATTGTTATCAAAAAAAAGCGCCCCGTTTTTTTATAAGCATTTGAATCTCAGATAGTTACGTAATAGAGGGCTGCATGAATTCATTCAAACTTCTATCCAAACAGAGTACAATAGATTTGAATATTTTACTTCACATACAAAACACTCAGCGTTTGGAATTTTGTAAGCTATGAATATACATTTTGTTTTATATTTTCTACCTTTAAATGGAAGAATGTGAATGAATGAATAGAAAACATTCAAATCATTCAAACTCATTTCGGTAAAAGTTTTTTTCTACAATCAAGGTTTTTCGTATATAATAGGAGCGCAGCAATACATACATACATATGTATGTTTGTACATATGTGCATAGAAAAAATATTTTTGGATATTCATACAAAAAATTGCCATTTATATCAATTCAATTTATTTTCGCTTTGTTTGAATGTTGTATTGTCGACATAAATATCAGAACAGCTATTCGCTCAAATTCAAAAAAATTTGAAGCCAAAATCATTCCTTCGTTTTGTATATGAATAATTCATAAGCTGTTTGGAATGCATTCATGCAGCCCTCTATTACGTAATTATTATCTTATTAAAGGTCAGACCTATAGCTTTTTAATTATTTGAGCATCGATTGTC